TGTGTGAGTGTGTGAGTGTTTGTGTGTGAGAGAGGGGGGTAGGATACAGTACTGGATTTAACGCATTCTACACATCATAAAGAGAGAGAACACTGCGTGTGTGTGTGTGTGTGTGTGTGAGCGTGTTGAGTGCGTGAGCGTGATGAGTGCGCGAGGTACTGCGGGAGAGATACAATTTAGGCGGCACTTGTTACCGGATAAATCTGATTGGATGATGTCTCAAATCATATCAGGATGATTATAAATATAGGTATAAATAGTTGTCTTTTTAAATTTACCGTCGTTGGAGTTTGAACCTTCACTATATCACAATTGGTGCATGTGAAGTGTGCGTACACACACACTGAACCAGAGCTCACGTATCGAAGCGAACCCAATTGACTGCATGTCAAGCGTCGCCACGAGTCTTGTAGTAGCCGACTCCCCAAACATGACCCATCATCACTGAACTCAATCCATACAAAGCAACTTAAAACAACGAAAACACTAGTACATTCAACAGTCACATCAAACCAAATATCACTTCACTCACAATTCGATGTGTACACTACGAAACTTCACACAAAGATCATCGCATACACTTGAATACGAGCTTCAAGTCAGGTTAAAGCAACATGTCAGAGTCCACTAAATGTGACGAAGGTGCTCAACTGTACCATGAGGGCCAGAGGTTGTGGATTCCATGCAGTGAACAAGGCTGGCAAGAGGGGACTGTGATGGCGGTGGATGGCACGAAACTCTCAGTCAAGAGCGGTGGAGGCCAGGTACATGAAGATAACTGGAGTATTTGTCTTAAGAAAACTGGAGTGTTTGTATTAGCATGCATTCGGGATATGTATGTATGTAGTTTATCTGTGTGGGTTCTGGCTATTGATGGTATGTCATAGTATCTAAGAATGGTATGTACGACCGTTCAATTAATACAACGGTACGTTATATATATATATATATATATATATATAATAAAGTAAGTATATATATATATGTGTGTGTGTGTCGTGTGTGTGTGTGTGT